GATCCTAAGATCATAAGACGGAGGGGTGCCCCTCTTCTAGTTCAGATCCTAAGACAGAAGGGTGCCCCTCTTCTAGATCAGATCCTAAGATCCTAAGACGGAGGGGTGCCCCTCTTCTAGTTCGAATACTAAAACAGAGGGTGCCCCTCTTTGCACGCACTGGCTGTGTTGCTGTTGGGAATCCACCAGGCACACTGGGACTTTCGCAAATTAAAGATGTCGAAGTGATAATTGTGTGCACAAGGTCATGATACTCTAAGTGGGTTTGCTTCATTCTCTGCTGTTGATGTCATACAAAAGCGAGGGAAAAAAAGTGATTGGGTAAATCAATTGCTCACTTTTCATAAAGTATTGAAAAAATGTGGGGAAAGACCATGATGTATAAAACTGTGGAATGAAAATTTAGTGTCTTGTGACCCTTTCAATATCTCTAAGGACACCTCTTTCCCAAAGATTTTAATTTCACAGATTTAATTTCCCCTGACCAAGAAAATCATAGAAGAGAGTCCCCATACTAAAATCATGCTCACTAATGGGGACCCTTTCTACCCCTCAGACTTCTGATTCTCCTTGTGTGTTTTTTCCTCTCCTTATTTGTAGGCATAGAAATTCCCCTGGCCGGGAGACAGCCCATTAGGTATGGGGTCGTACCTTCACACAGGAGCTGGGGACATAGACATGACCTATGAAGCACTATAAAACCTGTTGCTCACCTTATTCGCTTGCGTGAGGATGAGGGCCAAGGGTCCCTTAGTTTTGTGGAGACTTCTGCTGCCACACACAAAGTGTGCCTCTTAGAGTCCAGCAGAGTTCTTTGCTACAGTCTCCCCAGAAATTGATGGTGTCCAGCGTGGATCCTGACAACTAGCAATCATGGGTAGAGGGAGAGCTAGGGCCCACAAGGGGAAAGAGGCAACAGCAGGCTACCAGGTATAAAATAGGAACAGAAGCAATTACTGGGTCCTAAGCACTATCCAGTTGGCTATAGGTAGCACTATATTTAAATTTTTTTCACTTCAAAAAAAAAAAAAAAAAAGATTAAAGGCCATGAGCTAGAGAAATGGCTCCCTGGCTAAGAGTGCCTGCTGCTTTTGCAGAGGGCCCAGTTTTAGCTCTCAGCACCCAGTCTGACAGCTAACAACTGCCTGTAACTCCAGCTGTGGGGAACTGGACACCTCTGGCCTCCAGCAGTACCTGCAGTCACACGCACGTAACCACATGCAGACACACATAACTACACACAATTAAATCTATTTTAGGAAGCACCAGTGTGCCACACTGAGTGTGGAAGTGAAATGTTCAGAGCCAGTTCTCTCCTTCTACCACATGGAGCCCAGGGCTAGGCCTCAGCCTAGGAGCACGTGTCGTGAGCCACTGCGCTGTCCCACCACCCCTAAAAGCTTGAGAGCATAGAACACAACCCAGGAGAAATCATTAGTCATTTCCAGGTACATCTTTATTAGGAATGGGATCTTCTCACTGGAGACAGAGACAGGACCTGCAGTTCCACAGCATTTAGATCATTGCAAGACATCAAAGTGTGGGGTGGGAGGAATTATTTAGGACAGTTTTGAAAATGACTGCACAGACATTCTTTTTTTTTTTCTTTTTTACAGACATTCTTGGAAGCAATGTTTTGCAATTTGCATTTCATATTTAATTTTGCTGGTAGTCTAACTCAGACCAACAACCAGCTACTTGGGGTTTTCTGGGCAATCATCTTTACAGACAGTGCTGACGGCGCCCTTTGCTCTGCAGTCTGATAGTGTGGTCATAGCTTCTTCATCTGATTTCTCAAAGAGCATCCTTGTACAATGTGCACTACCTTCTGTGAGTTCTGGAAGAGGGCAAGATTGAGCAGTGACGGCTGAAGAAGGGAGTTGGGGATGGGGAGGAGATGCATGTATGGGACATGAAAACAAGTTCACAATAGTCATTGGTTTAATAAAGCCTTTATAAAGCCAGGTTTTACAGAATTATTTCAATGGACCAATACTAGCAGAGAACCAGGAACAGATTCACTGGAGGTTTGTATAAACTTGGCTGAGAAGGCTTAGAGGTAGAGACATGACGGCACGTGAAGAATTCATGATTTAACTAGTGTGGTCTGCTAAATTTTTTTGGCTGCAGGGTTAAAAGGAAATTGTAATCGTTTTTAGCACTGAGAAAAAAAGAAATAAAAGCTGTTTTTGTTCAAAATCCCAGTCACCAGGAAATATTGCCGTGTTTGTGGTGCATATCAGTTCTTGGCATTGGCACTGGCGTCAGTTCGGCCGGACAGCTGCTGTCAGCAGGGAGTCTGTGGTAGGAAAGAGACAAAGAACTAGATTCCACGTCATAAATAACTCAGCCTCCCTTCCCACAGCACAGCACTCTAGTCATCTAGACACACCTACTACAGGTGGCCTTGGGCAGGAGTTGCCAGGAAAACAGGAATAGCACAGGACAGGGGAAAGAACGATAGGCTACAGCCGTGAACACTGTCACAGGATTATAGCCGTGAACACTATCACCCATGCTAACTAAGCACAGGGCTACAGCCGTGAACACTGTCACCCACGCTAGCACAGGGCTACAGTTGTGAACACTGTTACCCGCGCTAGCACAGGGCTACAGCCGTGAACACTGTCACCCACGCTAGCACAGGGCTACAGTTGTGAACACTATCACCCACGCTAAGCACAGGGCTACAGCCGTGAACACTGTCACCCACGCTAAGCACAGGGCTACAGCCGTGAAGACTGTCACCCACACTAGCACAGGGGGCTAGGAAAATGGCATTTTTTTTGTTTTGTTCTTAACCTCAGCATGACCTGCTAAACGTGTTCTAGAATGGAAGTCAATGGGTGTCACTGAGTAGGTTTCAGTGATTTAGAACTCTGTGAGTGCAGAAAGTTACCCTGAACAGACAGTGCTCACCAGTTGTGATGCTGCAAACAGGGATCCAAAGACGTATATTGACATAGACTATTTGAGGCCTAGAGAGAGATCTCCTTCCTTCCATTCCTATCCTGAGTGACCACTGCAATCAACATATAGGACTTGTCGAAAGGATAAATTGCTAATCTGTGAGTCATGCAGCCTCTCAAAGATCTTTTATGTTAAAGAATCATTACTTTACTTTCACTGGGCAGTGGTGGCACACACCTTTAATCCCAGCAATCAGGAGGCAGAGGCAGGCGGATCTCTGTGAGTTCAAGGCCAGCCTGGTCTACAGAGTGAGTTCTAGGACAGCCAGGGCTACACAGAAAAATCCTTTCTCAAAAAACAAAACAAAAAACAACACTAACAACCCACAACAATAACAAATCATTACTTTCTTCTTCCTTAAAAGGAACACTTGAGTCTCTCTGTGTATGTGTCCCTGGAAGCTTAGTAACTCTAAATGCTGGAGGACACAGAGCTTACTCATTAGACCCAAGGCATCCTGGTATTACACACTATAGCATGAAGGTCCATTAAGGAAAAGCTGTTGCCTATTAACCAAAAGAGTGGAGTCTACCTCTTAGTGGAGACACACCATTGGCTTCTCCCTTAAGAGAATTGGGCAGGCCCACCCTTCTTCAAGAAGGCAGGCCCACCTCAAGCTAAGGAAATAAAACGAATAGTTATTCCTTTAAGGAAATGTTGTTTTCCTTTCTTAGTTATCAGTCTCTTACAGACACGCAACCCCACAGCCTACCTGTTTTTCTGAATCACCCAGAAGGGCTCGGTTTTTCCATTGTTCTGTCTCAGTTCTAAGCATGCTCTCCCTCACCCTGAGCCTCCCTTGCTCACTCTCCTTCCTGAGCCCATGCTGGCTTAGTTCAAAGGACATGGCTCTTTCTTCCCATCTGCACTTCCCCTCTGGCAACTGCCAAAATTTACAACTTTCTCAGCCAAGTTTTTCTTCTGAAATTGTTCAGTATGGACAAGAACCCTAAAAGGAGACCCCAATTTTCTAATCAGTTGATCTCCCTGTAGTTTTCCACTTCAGGTGTCTGATCTGGCATTTGAAAAGTCAGCTAGATCTAGATCACATATAAACACGAGAAAAAAATAAACAAAAAGACCTCATTTCATCTTATACTTAAGCAATCCCCTCATGGCCTCTGCGCTGCAACCCTGTCTACATCTCCTACTTCCTCCCCACTGTCCCGTTTAAATCTTACTTTCTACTATCCCTCGGGAATCCTTCATCTTTAGTTAGCTGAGTCCTCATCAGCAGTCCCTGTTGAGAAAGACCTGCTTCTGCCGTCCTTAGGTGCAAGCAACCCCCCTCGCCCCGTCCCGCTTCTATCTCATTATTCTGTGTGCTTCAGGAGTGAATAATTTAGTTGTTTATGATCTATCTCTAGGGACTGGAAGTTCCAGGTTATCTTTTTGTATGTTTATGTTTAGTACTGTGTCTAGCACAATACATTTGTTAAATAAAGGTTCACTGAAAGCATTTCTCTCTGGTACAATTCATCCTTCTGTAAGATGTAAGATTCATCAGTAAATGTTGTCTCAGTTCCTCAGATCACCCCCAGAATGTCTTCCTACAGCATAACAGAAAACGGCAGCACAATGCCCCTGTCTCTCAGTGCCCTGGCCCAGGCTCACCTGCTTCCCTTCCGTTACTGCAGAGCTCCGATCTGCTTCAGCCGGGTCATCAGTTCCCCATTCTGCTGCATGGCGATGAGATCATTGCATCCACCTATACAGTCTTTGCCAATGAAGACCCGAGGGACCTGCAGAAGTGAGCAGTCGAGACAGTTAAGGATCCTGTGACTAGTGTGATCACCCCAGCCCCATTGTCCACCATGCTAAGCTTCACAAGTGGCTTTACAAGCTTCGGAAGAGTCTTCAAAGACACTTAAGAATAGAAGTTATCATTAAAAAAACATTACTAGGGCTACGTTGTAGTTCAGAGGCATGGCGAGTTGAATCCTCAGCCACACGTGGGAAAAAGGTAAAAGGTGTTTCAGGTTGAATGAGCTGGGCATTGACAGTTTTTTTTTCTTTTTCACTTTACAGACATAGATCAAGTGCAAATTCTTATTGATGCAGTAAGAACACCAGGTTTTGCTCAAGGGTCATACCTGATGGGGGAGGGGCACACAAGGGTCATACCTGATGGGGGGGAGGGGCACACAAGGGTCATACCTGATGGGGGGAGGGGCACACAAGGGTCATACCTAATGGGGGAGGGGCACACAAGGGCTTCCCTGAAGTTGAAAGACCCAAGACCTGAGACCATCTACTACACCCCAGCAATCAGGGGCATTCTTCTTCCTCAGTGAAGCTGGAAGGTCGATCCATGCTTATTAAGTAATGCATCCCCCTGTTATTAAAACACAAGTGAGCTGTCCTCAACTGGAATAGTATTGTGCTGCTTTTGAGTCTCCTTTAGTCCTTTACCATTGGCAAACTATCTGAACGCTGTAGCTCCGGGTCCACGGGCAAACTATCTGAACGCTGTAGCTCCGGGTCCGAAGGTACTGATTTGTTGTGGCTTGCTGGCTAGCTGATGTGGTCAATGTACTTGTGGAATCGATTCCTCTCAAGTCACTCCCACCTCACAGGACCCTGTTCAGACACTCATCAGAGAGGTGAAGGGACTCTCTAGGAGAGAAAACCTGTCCCCACCGTAATCTCCAAGCTTCACATGAAGGCTGATTGACAAGGAAAAAAAGACTCTGCTTAGGTGATCAGGAAGAAACAGGCCCTTGAACAAAAGGATCATACCTGACCAGGGGGAGAGGACACACAAGGGTCATACCTGACAGGGGGAGGGCACACAGGATTATACCTGATGGGGTGGGGGTGGGAGGACGACAGAGTGAGAATGTTTTTCCGAGCATCCTATTTTCCTTAGAAAGTATAGAATGTCAAAGTGAGCTGTTTGGAACGGGAGAAGGATGCACAGAGAGGCTGAACTACTGTGGATAAACTCTAGTCGTGTGTTTTGTCTTGATTGTTTGTCATAGAAAAGGGGACCCAGGGAGAACCAGGCTTTAAAAATTAGGAAGCTGATAACTAAAGCAAAATCCTATGTCACATCTAAATTATGTGAGCTCTGTCCTTTGCCTGACAATTAGAAAACCCACAGAACCCTCTCTGGCAGGTGGTTGGCTGCTGGGGGGGGGGGGGGGGGGGGGGGGTGTGGGAGACTCTGGGAAGGAAGTGANAGGGGGCTGTGTGGGAGACTCTGGGAAGGAAGTGACAATATTGCTTCCCCTAGCCACAAGGAGAAAGTGCAGAAAGATGAAGAAAGAACCCTAAAATTGCATGGAGTGCTGGCTATTGCTTCTGGGCAAAGGAGGCCCCCAAGTCTGAGGACTTTTCCGTCCCTATCTTCTCACAGTTGGCGGTGCTTGGTCGTACCAATAACAGCAGAACCCCAGTGGTTCTTTTGAGTATGATGACTTGTCAGATAAATTCGCCCAAGCTTTAAACAAGGAAACTGTGTATTTTTACTCTTGAATGTCTGTATTTTCCTGTCAGGAGCCATTTCCCCCCTAAAATTACAGGAACAATCACCCTAGGGAGTCTGCAGGGAACCTCACACCCATAATTATGTTCTATTGAGAAAACCTGCCCCACACCCAATTAAGCTGTTGGTAGAGAGCTATCTGTTAGCTGAACGCACCTCACATTCCAGCTATCCAGGGAACTAGGTGTGGCAACTTGTGACTCTTGGCCTACCTGACCGAGCTACGTGACCGGGACTACGCGGCAAGAATCCAGTTGCCCTACCCCCCATTTTTTACCATATATAAACTGTAACCCGTCCCTAATAAACGGAGGCTTTGACAAATCTGCTTGGCCTCCTTCTTCTGTCTTAGCTCATTCCCTTCCAGGTAGCGCCCCTCAATGACCCTGGAATAACTGATTGCAGGGTGGGTTACAAACCCCTAGACTGAGTAACCCAACCAAACGCAATCGACATTTTCCAAAAGAGTCAAGCGATTTTCTATATTCCATTGTTTTTCCTATGCGTGTAGAAGCCAAAGGCTGACACTGGGTGTCTTCCTGGGTCACTCTTTTTAAAAACTGAGGCAGATCTCCTGCTCCTGTGTCCCCTGGACAAACTGTTTTTTCCTATGCGGTTCTGGGATTTACTCTGAACTGTGCCCCCCATGCTTGTGAGGTAAATGTTACATTGGAGGTCTGAGCGCAAACATCAGTTCCCGGGGGCTGGTTCTCTCCTTCCTGGGACTCAGAATCCTGGAAGGTCTGGTTAAATGAGAGGCAAATTCCTTCTTTCAACTCCTAATTTTGAGATTCAGACAAAATGAGCTAAGGTCCAGGAGTCTGAATTTCTAAACATTTCCCAGGTCCTGGTCACCTTTCACTCCCTGGTCTACACAGAACACCCCGTTTTCTCCCAGGGTTACTGAGCCCCCCACCCCCACCACACCCTCCCCTGTCCACTTCCCAGCCTGAGACAGGCCCTGAAACGGTCTGCATACGTTTTGGACACTAGGGCAAGAAGCCAGAAGGAACATTGCCTTCCACCCTGGCCCCACCCCCACAGTCCAGTGAGGAGGAGGAAGAAACATGTTTGTCACTCAAACCTCTGGCCCACCCCTCTCCTAGGAGGAAGCTGACTCAGCTGCTGCTAGAGGAGGAACCTTTACCCTAAAACTAAGCTCTGGGTTTTCCTGTAGTGGGGCTCCCTAGCATTCTTCGCAACTCTAGGGTTCACTTCCTGTGTGTACAGAGGCCAAAAGCTGACAGTGAGTGTCTTCCTTGGTTAGTCTACCTTTTTTTTTTTTTTTTTTTTTTTTTTTTTTTTTTTAATTAAAACGAAGAAGGGTCCTTGCTCCCAGTGCAGGGTCTACAAGCAGGCTGCCATTTGTGTACACTTGGGAGGTACACGCTTTATCCACGGAGCCATCTTCCCAGCACCCACCTCTCCACTTCTGACCATTCAGCCAGGTTTCTTACTGTGAGCCCCTGCTTTTGACTGCCTTTCCCACCTGAATTCTGTGTGGTCTCAAACTATCTCCGAGTTTCAGCCCAGACCCTGTCCCACAGTCTCTTTTTTCTGTAAAAGTAGCTGCAGTGTGCAGAGGCTGATGGACTGATTAGAGCTTCGCTGATGGTGAAGCCTGTGGACTGTGGGTGTTTCAGGACCTACTTTGCAATCTTGAATTACCTTTAGCCTACCTTGCTGCCTTAACTGGGGTTTTGTATTGCTGTGAAGAGATACTATGACCATGCCAACTCTTCTAAGGAAAACATTTAACTGGAGTGGCTGGCTCAGAGGTTCAGTTGCTGTCATCGTGGTGGGGAGCATGGTGTGCAGGCAGACATGGTGCTAGAGGGGGAACTACCACATCGTGCAGGCAGCAGGAAGTGGACACTTGAGTGAAACTTGAGAAGAGACCTCAAAGCCCACCCCCACATTGACACACTTCCTCTAACAAGGCCACACCTACTCCGGCAAAGCTGCACCTCCTGAAAAGGAGCGGTATTTTCTTTCTAACTACACCTCAGTGTCACACCCAATGAACATATAAACGTCTTTGGACTGTAGTACCTTAAGGAAACCATTCTGCTACCTGTCAGAGGGTAAGAATGCTATCTCACAGCATCCAAGGCCTATCTGTACGACTTTAACTCACTTCTTTGATATTCCTCCTAAGGTTTTCAAAAATTGCCTTATTTGGCTCTTTTTTCTGCTTCTGCGTTGGAACGTGGAGGTAACCCAGCTCCATCCTCTCAGGCCACGCTCATTCACTTCACTCTAGGGTAAGCCAACTCCTTTGAGGGGAAAGCAGATGACCTTAGTGACCAGAATGGCCCTTCCAGGAGCCACATTCCAGCAGCAGCCTGCACACGTGCAGGGCAGCCCGAGCTTGTGTATGGGAGATTAGAGGCCTTCTCCAGGCCTCAGATCAAGCCCTTCTTACTCTAATCCTTAGTGTCCCTGTCTTGCCCTTCCCTTATCTCCATGGGACACCAGTCACTCTAGCACACTAAAGGCTGGACCTTATTTTTTGTCTTTTTCCTTCATCTAGGTGAGGCCCTTATGGTTCCATTTGAAACAGCAGCCTGTTGCATACACGCTGTCTCCTATTTCCTAATTTTCTTGGTAAGCACATCATTGCCACCTCCCAAATACACAATTCATTGTATTGTTTGTCTCCCATACAAAAGTGCACATTTTACAAAGTAGGAGTTTTTTCATTGCTGTATTTCCACTGTGCAGAAATGTCTGACACATTATAGATGTTGAAAAATATGTTTTCTATCCAGAAAAATCACCTTTGACCATGAGGAAAAACTAAGCCTCCTCACACAAAAATGAAGGCAATTTTCAGAAAGTTCCATCAAAAGCTCAAGGAAAAAGGTGGAGCTCTGGAGAAGTAGCAGACAAAAGCACTAGGGTGGGAGTCATAGAAAGCCAGTCTTGCTAGACTAAAGACTGTTTTCTGTGGTCAAGCCCTGCTGAACTCCTACTGGAGTTCACTCCCCATAGGTCAAGGAGCATGACTGAATAGCCAACCACACTCAAGTTCTCACTGCCCTAGAAGGTAAACACATCCCAACAGGATCTGGAAGCAGTGAGTTAGAAGCTTTTGTACTTCCCTCAAAAGGATGTATTTGGATTTGGACTAAAAACCTATCTGGGGGGAAAATATATAGAGGATCACAGATAGGGCTCAATGGACAGCATGAGGGCCCTGAGTTCAGATCCTGAGAAGCCATGGAAAAACCAGGCGTGACAGTGCACAATACTGGGAGTTGGGTGTAGAGATGGGTGGATCCCATGGGCTCACAGGCTTGGCAGCCTAACCAAATTGGCAAAGGTGCTGGTTCTGTGAAAGACCCTGCCTCAAAAAAAAACTAATGTGGAGTGTGATTGAAGAATACATCCTGAGGTCAACTTCTAGTCGCCACACACTCACATATACACACGTGAATTTACCACATGTATGTGCACGCAAACATGCATACCCCTTTTGAAATTTTAAACTTAAAAAGCTACTACAAAAGTGTTGCTTTGCAAATCAGTGCAAATATCTGTGGATGGAAGGTGAAGATTGTTTTCCTCCAGAATAGTTGCTGCTCTGCACAGGCAGCTTCCTCGCTAATCCCGCTGTAGCTGGAACCACCTGCAGAGCTTTCCCACAGTCACTGATGGCCGGCTTCCACCTCTGCTCTTGGGAGGCCAAATAGGAGTGTGGTGTGAGCGCGGATTGTCTGAAAAGTTCCCAGGTGACTCCATTGGCCAGCGAGGGTTCTGCACGGGCCTATAGGAGTGTTCCCACTTCTCTGTTCTTTCCACTATTTGTGTCTCTGCTTCAAGACTTCATCCTATAGCTGTAAAATAGCATACTCTTTGTCTGAACTAGAATAAAGATTTTTGAATGAGACAATTTCCAAGGCTTTATACCTAGGTCACAGAGAAAACCCTCTAAGTCACACTAAATCTCAAATAGGAAATGTGTTTCTGCCAACACTGCCCTACAATGTGCTCCTGGGAGGGATGTAAGTGAATTGGTGTGATGGCTATCAGGGGAGACTCAGTCTTTCCCTTTGACTATCTAAACACTGGGCCTCAAAACTAGTTTCCCCGGAAAACCTGGGCTGAGAAAGGCTGAAGTCCTGATGCCAGCCAGTGCAGGAACTTGTCTCACAGGAAGAGATTTCACAGTTCTGAGGTCATTACTAGACCAACTGTACCTGAGATAACCAATGAGTCAACAGTGGGTGGGGACCTCCCCTTGATCTGGCCTGTATACATCCCACCTGCTATGAACCTAAGCCTTAGGCTGGGGAGAGGGCTCAGTTGGTGAGGTGCTTGCCCATGAGAGCGAGGACCTTAGTTTTATCTCCCATAATCGACAGAAAAATCTGGGTGCAAATCACAATATTGGGGAGACTGAGATAGGAGGACCCTCGGGGCTTTCTGGCCACCAGCCCAGTCTGTGAACTCCAAATTCAGTGAAGGACCCTGTCTCAAAAAATGGTTATTGAGAGTGATCAAAAAAGTCACCCAAAATTAACTTCTGGCCCGTCTCACAAATGTGGGTAGACACGCACGCACACACTCACGCACGCGCGCACACGCATGCACACACACACACACACACACACACACACACACACACCCTAAACTTTATGGACTTGGGAAGCACTGCATGACCTCTTTAGGTATTCATCTTCCCAGTGAACCCTCACTGAATAAGTTTCTTTTCTCTGCTTTTCACTGTCACGTGTCCCTTTAATTGGTATTGGAGGCAGGTGGCCAAGGTTCTTGGCTTGTTGGGGCTGCCAGATCCTAGGCTTTGTCCCCCAACACTCCAGTAACAGTGAGACAAGCTCACCATGCCAGCACCAGAGGCTGCTAGACTGGGCATCCCAGCAGCAGCCCGGACACAAAGCAAGCCTTTTCTGAGGGAAGAGGAGGTTCTTAGGGAGCCACACAGTGTATTTGCACAACAGGCTTCTGAAGTGCTACTCCAGCTGTGCGGCCGGGCCCCCTAGGAAGGCAAGAAACTCACAGACTATTTCAAAAGCTACTGTGGTGACCGGGCCTGAGTAACAGCAGGCCTGAAATAGCCTCTAAAGGGGCAAACGGTGGAGCAGAGGGTTTCTTTTCCTAGTGGGTGGAGCTAGATAAGGAGCAAACCAGGTGATAACACCTAGAGAAAAGAAAATGAAGGCTCACAAACCGTACCAAGAGGAGTGCAAACTGCAAAGAAGTGTGTTTGCTGCCGTGTTCCTCAACAGAAAGCTGAAGGTCACACCCAGCCTCTCAGCTGCCCCCTGCCTTGTCAGATGGACACTGTCAGCTCAAAATAGTGCTTAAAACAAAGCCTTCAGATGCACGCTGACTGCCTCCAGCTGGCTGCCGAGCCCACCGAGCAGGCACCACGCATCCCTGTGCTGTCCTCCAAGACAGTCCCTCAGCTGCTGTCTGACCCATGTCCGTCCTCAGGTTCCTCCCCCACACCCTGCATAGCTCTCTAGATGCTGGGAAGGACAGCGTCCTGGCAGTGGCAACCTAGAAAAGGCACGGATGTCTGCACTCTGAAAGGAACCAGCAACCCTTGAGCCTTTTCTTAGCATTTGAACACACTCACTGTTCTCGCTCCGGTGAGCTGCTGTAAATAATCTTGAATCTCATTGGTGTTGTTGGTGGCTGTGATATCCACAAATTCCAGGAGCCCTTGTTTGAAAGGCAGTTGCCTGAGGATTTCCTGCGTCTTCTGGCAGTAGGGGCAGGTAGGCTTGATGAACACGACCACCTTGCCAGGCTGGATCTTGCCGTTAACAAATTCCTGAGCCATGCCGGCAGGCTGCAGCTTCCCCAGGAGGACCGCTCAGTAGAAGGTCCTGGTCGGGTGTAAAACGTGGCTTAGCCACAGCTTTCTTTTAAAAAGGAACCTCCTTGGAGGAGGAGTTAGCGAGCAGGATGATTCAGTTTTAAAGGGCCAGCCTCGAGTTAGCAGGCCTAGGAATGCACACTCGATGTTTAATCCATAATAGCGTAGGCCAGGCTGTCTTTGTGCTCTCTGCCTTTGGGAATGCTAGACTGCACTGACCAGCTTCTGGGAGGAGGCTGGGACCTCTTAGAGCAATTTTTTTTTTCTCTCTTTTGGAGACATGATTGATTTTAAAAACATAAACACAACCATTCAGGAATGGTTGGCACTTCATAGGAAGTAGGGTGGAAAGGTGACTGGGCCCTTGGAGGTTGCTTTGTTTAGCCTAGAAGGTGAGTGTTGTGTGGTTAGTGGAACTGGATCTTGACATGTAAAAACACGGCAGCAAAGCTACCTGGACTTCTGTGTCTGCCAAGTGTGTGCACAGTACTGAGGCCATACCGAATTCTGTGCCCCCTTTCAACAGCGTAGATTCTCTGCACAGGAACTATCTGGCAAGCTCAGCCTTAAATACACCTGCCCCACCCCAACATTGGTGACCTTTGAACAGCAGTTAGGTAAGAAAGCAATTTCCTCAGAACCCCTGACTTCAAGCTCCACACCGAATGGGGATCTTTTCCTGCCTGACTTGTTTTTACAGTGAGCCAGTGAGCTACAAGAGGCAGGACCCAGTTAGATTAGCAGTTCAAAGAGAAGATGCCTATGGCCTAGATTACCTTTCCAAGGAAACGGCAAGTTTCACACTAGAACTAGAGTGCCTTGGAGGACGGCTAGAGCCACACCATGCTGGTGGCTCAGGCACACACTGTGACTAGAGAGAGGAAGAGTGAAGGCTGGAGGCTGCTTTCTTTGTCACTCTCATTATTACCAAAATCAAATGGCAAGATAGCAGTCAAATGGCCAGATTCGGGGCCACTAAAGTGGTTCAGAGAAGTCCTGTCCCAGCAGACAAGTGTGGCAGGCTGCATGACTGAGCTGGAGACCTCCCTGCCAGTAGCTTCTCACACTCCAGAGTGAGCCTCCAGATAAAGTCGGTACCCTGCCCTTCTTTTTCTTCCCCTTAGCCTCCAGATGCTGGCCCATCCCAGAGGCCTCTTGAGGCCCAGATGTCTGCAGGGCTCTGTCTGTTTCCATGACATTGGGGCATCAGCACATGGTGCAGGCTGGTTTTTAGTCTTTGTCTTCTCAGCACTGTCTGGTCTTTCCCTTCCTGCAGCCCCCTTTCCTAAGAGTCTGGCTGGTCTGGTCTCTCAGACCATGGCTGAGAATCATGGTGACCTTCCATCTCTTGCACATTCGCCCTCTGACCTTGGCCGGCAGCCGCCACCTGTGTTTTCCTTGTCTTTCCTAATTGGCAGTCTGACTCTCCTTATCACCTTCTGACCAAACGCCTGAGTTTGCTTACTCATCCTGGACCTGGTGTTCAGACCAGCCTAACCCAGAGGTCTAAGTGTGAAGTTAGCATGTGCAGAAACATGAAACCTCCCAAGAAATCTGTCTGCAGAGTCACCTGGGACTTGGAGTCCCACGCTACCCCTAACTCCAAACTCCTGCCAGATGGGGATCTTTTCCTATCAGTCCGTACCTCTAACTTGACAGTCACTAAGTCAGAGGCTACCATATGTACTCAAGTCTGTGTCTCAGCAAACCTGGGGCTTTGGCTCCGTGAGGGGGAAATGTGCCCACAGGCTCCTGTGCTGCGTAGGTGTGCAGGCCCACAGTGTTGGCTCTACAGACCAGTGCAGACCTGTAGAAACCACAGGTGTCTCAGCAGGGAGCTGGTGGAGCCCCACAGTGACGCCTGTCCTCAGGAGCTGGAGGCCCAGAGAGGGTAGTATGTGCATAGGAGCAGATAAGGGCTCTTCCCGAACAAGTGGGAGTGCATACACCGTTGGGGGAGGTGGGGTTCCTGTGCAGAGCACTGACAACGAGCTAGTGGTCTGTGGGGATGTGCGGCAGTGCAGTGATTGTGGCCCCATTTGAGGGCCGAAGAGTTTGGCCACGAATGAACATTTCTTAGGCTTTTCTCCATTCTGGCTTGGCAGGAAGCTATTTTGATCAATCCCTCCTCTAGAAGCCCTCCGCTTCCCAATGCTAGTGGCAGCATGGTCTGCTTTCTGTTCTGGCACATCTGTATATTCTGGCTTAGCTCCTTTCTTGAGAACATCACCTGTGCGTGTGGTGTTCTGGGGCAGGGTCTTCTCCACGTGCTGTTCCGGCTGTCACTGATGATGAATGCTGCATTTGGTTTTCTTGCCTGGACCTCTCTTCCAAGCCTCAGGAATGCAGCAGCTGAGACGCCCTATCTGAAGCCTCCTTCAGCCTCTCAGCCTCCCTGGGTTAGTGTTAAAGCTGCCAGGGGTTGTGGGATTTGTGTGCACTGTGATGATGGATTGCTGTGATTAGTGTAATAAAAAGCTGAACGACCTATAGTTAGGCAAGAGAGTATAGGCAGCAGAGAGGGCAGATCAGGAGGAAGCAGGATGGCCTCATGGAAAAACATAGATTTTCAAGTATGGGTTAATTTAAGTTATAAGAACTAGCTAGACAGAAGCCTGAGCTATGGCCAGGCTCTCATAGTTAATAATAAGTCTCTGTGCCATTATTTGTGAGCTGGAAGTCCAAAAAAAAAAAAAAAAACCAACCATATCTGACTACACCCAGGTTTCCTCTGCCTGCTTCCCTCCCTCTATACTATCTTCCTTCTGTGGTGAGGGCAGGAAGGTGGAGTCTTTTTTCCTGCCCTCTACTTTTACCTACATGAAACAGCGAAGCTGTCCCAGGTCTGCCTCCCAGGTCTCCCCTGGGTCTGAACACCTGACTCTACTTGGAGGCCCTGTCCCCTATAACCTCCTCACATGGCCTCCCAGCCAGCTCTGTGGTGCTGCTGGACAGTCTCTAGAAATGCTGGCCCTGCCATGTGCTCTCGAAGTCGGCTGGGCTTTTTCAGATTCCCTGTGGAGACACTGTCTGACTGGCCCTCCCTGTGTTCGGTCATTCCTCCTGCCCGGCCCCCATTTCTGCTTTCTCCCAGCTCCCTGGGCTGTGAGCCATTTCTATGCTCTGAGGCATTCATCTTCACTGTGTGCACTGAGTCTCCTGCCCCAAGCTCAGAGCGCCCCATATTCCCACTCTCTCTGCAGTTAACTTCCCCTAGTCCAGTGAGTCCCAAATCCAGATGATGTAGCTCTTCTGGGAAGTACCCCAGAACAAACACCTCTTTCCTACTAGAATGCCTCCCAGCTAAGGTCACATGATAAGCTCTGCCCTGAATAGCATAGCTCAGTGGGAATTTTTAAATTTAATATTTATGTGTATAGATACTTGGTCTACATGTATATTTACATACAACATCCATGTCTGGTGCCTATGTGTAACACCCGATTTTGGTGTTACACCCTCGGTACAGTTCTCGCGCAGCTGTACTGAATGCGAGTCCGGGCAAGGGCCTGGAGATTGAACACAAGACACAGAGACCAGAGTCATTCCATAGGAGATCAAGCGAATGCCGTTTATTCACACTTGGGGAAGCCCTTTTCTACCTAACTGCAGCACAAAGATCTCTCCGCCCAGGGAGGTGGGAAATTACCATATTAACAATGGAGAAGATTGCCTGCAGCTAAATCACCAGGTGGGGCAGGGATAGCACGGAAACACACAGGAAGCTTAGTTAACTGATAACAAACTGTCCCCGCCAATGCACCCCAGGAATAAGGGAGACCAGGGGCCCACACCTATGGAAGCCAGAAGTAGGTGTGGGATCTATAAAACTGAAATTACAGACTTTAGTTGAAGCTGTGGATTCTGGGAATCAAACCTGGGTTCTTAATCCACACCAGTGATACAGACAGCTTAGAGCTGTCTGTAAGCCATCTGTCCAGCCCCGTCATTGTTCTTTTAAAATCATTTTCCACCATCTCTGCAGTGTCTTAAGGACAGCAAGAAGAATGCATTCATTCTTGCCTTAGAGCCCCACAAATGGGCAGGTGCACACAGGTCCTCTTCTGTCTACCTCTGAGCTCATGTAGTCAGTGTTTATTTATCGTTTCCCTGGACCAGACACACAGATGCTCATACATACTCCCATCCTTAGGAATTCATAGGGAAGTGGGGCATGCAAGCATGGAAAATGGACACAGATATTATCAAGTATGTAGGATGATACGATAGAGGTATATAAGGGTGCCAATGAGAACAGCTGGTCCACCGGAGCGTGGGCAGGGAAAGAGCCACTGTGAATACATATGTGTAGCTGTCAGGCTACATCTCAGGAATCCCAGGAAATTAGCGAGAACAGACAGCTCTAAGCAGTGACAGGAATGCTTTGGGGCAAACCTTACACAGTCTGTCCAACTCTGCAGACTGAGCTGCACTGAGGCACCTTGGCGACTGGAGGTGTCCCACGGCTGACTTCCTAGCCACAGCCGCCCTTTAGGTATGCTGCTGGAGGCTTTGGTGAGTTAACATGTTACCAGATGCAGGAAGGTTTGGGTCTGTGGCTGTGCCTTCTGGGGAATGCTCCCTGGATGGCCACGGGTCTGACTACAGAGGATCATTAACTTTGCCCCAAAAGTCCCCCAGAGCATTTCCTCACCTTCTCCTGCTTTGCTGAAGTCAGCACCCTCTTACTAAGTGCTGACTGTGTGCCAAACTTACAGATAAGAACTTAATAAAAGCAATTTTCATCCTCACAGCAACTTTGCAAGGTAGGTCCGAAACTGAATGAATAATGAAACTGCCCTTGACTTGGAGGATGTGAAATTCAGTTAAGGGTACAGGCTGCACCTCACATTTGGACTGTTTCTCTTGCCACAATTTCTGAGATTCAGGTTCAGTTTGGACATGAAATCTTAAGTTATCACCCATGACCCTGGGCTCTACTGTGGTTTCTGACTCTCATGTAAATTAGAGGCCCCAAATCTGAGGTCTTTTTGGGTGTTTCCAAACAGTTAAATGTTTTATCGTTGCTATTGAGTT